GCGACCAGTGTTTTATGAGATCCAGCACTCCCTGCTTCCTAAACTTGAAGTCTAACAGTTGACCAACAAGATTACAAGAGTTACGAAAATTTGCATTAAAAGATCCAGAAGACCAGTTGGCGAGCACACAAGTGGTTAAGATAAATTCTCATCCGGCCAGTACATCTTACATGGATTCAGGGTACAAGAAACACATGTGACCGCTAAGTGAAATTGATTCCAGTTCGTCTATTCATACAAGCGGGGTGTGCGGACAGGAGGCGGGATGGGGGGAGGGAAGAAATAAGAGACAGTGAGTTTGGAGACAGTGAGGGTTGGGGGGATCGGGGTGAGGGCGTGGAGGGTTGCATGCAGCTAACCGACCTTTGGTCATGTTAGGCATGACGCTTGTACCAAGCCCTTCTGTGTGCACAAGATCGGCTTTCGTAACCTGATGGCAGTCGCCTCCACCGTTGTTAGTAGGCGTTAACACAGTGGCTTGGGGTGGTTCGGTGGGACCTGGTTCGACGGAATCTTGAAACTCACTATCAGATGCATGATCCCCGTACCATTAGCTGGTCGTAGTTGCGATGGCCATGATTCTCATCGCGTTATCTCTCCCTTTGCGGATTTGTGGAGATGACCACATGAAATGCTGTTTTTGAGCTAACAGATCAGAACCTTTGTTATAAAGGACTGCGATGGGTTTATAGCATCGGTTTATGCATTGATGGCGCCCACCCATGCAAAGTCGAGTGATTTCTTGCACGCATTTTGAGTTGCACTTCATACGTGAGGATTTTGTACCACGTAAATCCTCGTGAACTTTTGGTGTCCGAGACTCCGGCGAAGGGACTTGTAAGGACGATGAGTGAAGTTATCAAAGGCGGTAATTACACCAAACGAACTCCACTGTATTCCGGAATTTTTGTTAGCTAATGTAATACAATGAACCCAGACCACAGGGAGATGTTATATCATGGAGGTTGAAGGGACTTCGAAGGGAAATGTAATTGAGCGTCTTATCTCTCTGCAAACTAAAATTCTCTCACTCCTTAAAGTTGTTAAATTTAATTTCGAATTCATCCATAGTGGCCTACGGGTAGTTTGGAAAGATTTTCCTCAATGACGTTTTCGAAGACTTGGCATCTTCAGTCTGATTTCGCAAGGTGCAGAAGATGACACACTAAAAATACTAGAAAAACTGGAGGCATTTAACGAGGGGTTGTAACTGTGGCTTAGGGCAGCAAAATATTTATGGTTTAATTACCCCGTAGAAATCGATGTTTCTCCATATCGAAACACAACAACACGAGAAGTTCGGTGGACGCTGGAAAATCTCGCCTCACCATGCGCTAAATAGTTTCCTTTGATGATCGGCCCATCCATTAAGTGCAAAGAAAAAGGCCCACTGATCTCTCCAAAGTTGGAACCAACGCAGCATCTTTCGTCAAACAAGAGCTGTCAGCATTTTGGACCCCACTTTCGGAGAAAATATCTCCTTTTGAGTGAGAAACCGGTTAATGCTTTGGTGCGGTTTCGACATCCTTGTAATAAAGCTATGTTTTCAAATATGACAGAAACTGAGTCAAAAATATGAACGACTGCAAACGACGGACAGGGATATGTTTCATTTTAGTTAATTCCTTCTGAAGGCAGTCTCATTCATCTTATTAATGAATTGAAGTCCTTCTAACTCATTTTATTTTTCATAAAAAATATCTACCTTTACTCCGTTTAGATGAGTAAGTCTTAGTCTTGAAGATTCGTTAATTTGTAACTGTGTTTTTTGTACCTCTATAAGAATTAGTCTCACTGACTGTTCCGCAAGCTAAAAATTCAAAGGCATACCATGTTAGAGAAACTAGACCACTGCTGCTATGGCTGTAAATTGAGCACTTCGATGGGATAGAGAAAACTAACAGACAAGTTTTTAGTGTCTAAATTGTTGTCGTTCGAAGTACCGCGCTCATTTTTGGTAAAAATCAACTTTCAATTCCATCTAGCGGTTAAACACGGGAATAATGACCCTTTCTACTACAGGTAGTCTTGCACGGTACCTATTGCCGTGCCCCAACTTTGATCTTAACCTAATAGTAAACCGCATAACCCTAACTCTAACACCAGTCCTCATAACCTAACCCAGACTCCCCTCTCCTTGGAATTTGGCACAAGGCCACATATAACACACGAGGTCCATATTACCGTGCTCTACCCGTCTAACAAAGGTCTACATTTGGAAACTAAAATTTTATTGTTAAAACCTTTAAAACATGGTCATTTATAATGGCTGGCACAAGCCAACAACCTGGATATATTTCAGTGCGTATATACCCCAGTATCTGAATACGGTGGTAAAAGAAGGATCAGTTTTAGGACCTAAGTATTGGGTTGCACCATAAGTTTGTGCGCTTTGCAGTTACTCAAAATTTCATCACGTCCTTATATATCATTCATAGAATTAGTCAGATATGGATTCCCCTTCGTTGCTCATAACTCCCTCCCAACGTTTAGGAAGTTTTTCCATCCCACGCTTGAAGAAATCCGCAGGTTATGATACGGAGTCATCAATCCACTTTTGAAGATCAGCGTCGTTATTGAAGGATAATGCGATGAAATTGTTTTCGAGTGAACGGAAAAGATAGCAATCCGATGTATAAAATTCCGGAGAATATGACGGATGCAAAAGAACCCCCAGTCAAGCTCTTCAATTACATTTTTTATAAATTTTGCGACGTGAGGCATGGAGTTGTCATGTTGTAAAATGTCCCCATTTCGACTTCGGCGTTTTGTTGAATTGCTTTATTTAGATGGGAAGCTATTGACCGTAGAGCTCTGTATTAATCGCCTGGTTTTTTCTAAACAATTAATTATTAGTACCTCCCTTCATATCTCAGCAGACACACAGCAACATCTTGCGAGGAGGGAAATCACGTTTGATTCGAGGGGTTCCTTGCTTGTTGGGGCTTAACCATCCTTTCCTTTATTTCACACTTACATATAAGCACATCTTTTCATCGCCGGTAATAATAAGCTTAAAAAATGGTTTGCGTTTTGACGGGCGAGACGATGTCCCGCCAATGATGAGGCACAAACATTTGCCCGTCAATCCTGTTGTCCTCACTCGAAGCTCGCGGAAGCCTGGAACTAAGCCCTTCGACCTTTCCCCACCAGTTTCAGATGTCGAGCTATTGTTGATTCGCCGCATCTCATAGCTCTGCACATCTCCCAAATTATTTGACGGGGATTTGCATGGATTACAGCGGTGATACCATCCTCATCAAAGACTGACCTCCGTCCAGCGTGCGGAGCGTCCGTTGTACTGAAATCGTCTTCTTTGAAATGGGCATACTATTTCTTAGCTGTTCTTTTAGCAGTAGAACCTTCCTCGTAGACAGCGCAAAATGTTTCTAGCGGCATGCGATGTTTTGTGTCCTATTTCAAACTCGAATAAAAAAAGATATTGGAAATTTTCATTTTTGTCGACGTGACACTTCATCTTCTTTGGGCTGTAGATGATCAAAAGTTATTTAAATATTACTGCCGAATCCCGCAAGCGCTTGGCTAAAGAAATTAAACGATATATAACACGAATACATCAAGCAAACCAAAACATGATAAAATTCCGAATATTTGAGAAGCGCACGAACGAATGAGACAACCCAAAACCAATAATGAGTAGTGGTAGCAAGGACATGAAAGTTGACTAAGTTTTGAGTTAGGGTTGTTGGCCTAAATCGCTGCAGCATACTGTGGATGCGTAGGGGCACAAGCCGCAGACCTAGATTTGTTTAAATGTTCCCGCGCCGGCGCCACGATGTGTACCGATAGTGGAAGAACTAGTCGGGCGCAACTCTGCTTTCGCATTCAAGAGATATTTGACAATTTTTACAGTGTGTGATGATTTCCGGAGGACACCAGTCCGAGGAGCCCTGTCGCACTTTCTTAATATAGTGGCCTAGGGGGGTGTAATTTCATTCTCCTATCCCTCTTCTTGTACTTTGTTAATTTACCCTGAATTCGGCCGCACGTCTTTTGAGCAGTAGCCAACAGGAAACTGAGTGATCTCATAAAGAAAGTGACGCACGCTCATTTTCATGAAAGGGCCTGGTACCTGCTCCCGAAATGTAATTGGATTCACTTGAAGCGGTTTGAGCAGCCCACCTTCGGAAAAGCTACGGCACCTATAATTCTCATGATTCAACTGTGCAGTACCCTGGGATTAAGACGACAAAAACTGCGGGTGCCACAGTTGCGTCAGCGGCACGTAAGGACAAATGGGTGACTGTGAACCTGCGGTACTTTGACTAACACAACACCCTGTAGAACCACCATCTCTCTAACTAGAATTCGTACGTACATGGACGTGTATGAGATAGCTGCAGACAGCAAACAAGCGTGACAGGGAAAGTCAGACAGAGTAGTGGGAGCGCTACGACAGGTGACTTATGCTAAACTGAAACAGCAAGACAACGTCACGTATGGATCTCAGTCCACACAATGAGGCGTCGAAGTGGATGGATTCGAATGAATTAATTCAGACGCGAGGTCTGTAGTCCTGTCGTCACTATGGAATCACCTTACCCTTAAGTCTACTACTAGCTGCCTGTAGGCAGCTAATGAATATTACGCGGTTATTCGCTGTGACTGATGGACTTAGACCCAAAAATTCATACATAAAAAAATTTGGTCTAAGCCTATAGATCTTAAATATACTAATCTACTCCAAGTTCACAGTTAATTTCTAAATAAATTAAAAAATAACAAATCTTCTCCTGTTTTACGACCCGAGTTGATGAAGAAGGCAGTAACCGGTTGTTTCCAGTGAAAACATAGGCTGGCAAAAATCTCGAATATCCTCAGAGGCGCTGTAGTGACTTGGTTGGCGGGAGAGACCAGAAGTTTTCTGTCTAGACTGTTCGTATGAGGTCCCGTAATTCTCATTCTTTTCACCGACTCCGTAAGATTACGGCTAACTCAGACAGGGATAACCGAAAGCAATATTGGGCTGAAATAGCGACATGGAGCAAGCTTCGAACATTGATGAAACTCGAAAACTCCGCCAACTTATCCGCCATGCCAGCGGTAAGTTCTGGACACTAAGCGACTCTGTTCGTGGTTTGAATGGCCGCTTTATTGCTGACAACTCAACCAAGATCGAGCGCTTGCGTGAGCACTTCAAGCAACATCTCAACCACTTTACGCAAGCCACCACGCACTTGCTCTCCTATGCAGCAGAGTCTATTCCCTCTATAACCTATGCAATGTCATACGAACCCCTTCTGAAGAAGAAGAAGAAGAAGAAGAAGAAGAAGAAGAAGAAAAAGAAGAAGAAGAAGAAGAAATTGCCGATGCCATACAAAGGCTAGTCAACAACAACGCACTTGGAGAGGACGGTATACCCACTGAAATCTACAAGTCTGGTATCAACGCTCTGGTGTCCTGGTCTCATGAGGTGATTGAACAAACGTGGAGAGACAAGGTTGCTCCTGGTGACTGGGGCTCGGGCATCCTTGTACATATCCTCAAGAAGGGAAATAAGACAAGATGCAAGAACTACCGCGACATGAGCCACATCAACGTTGCCGCGGAGATCTTTGCTATTGTCCTTCTCAGGCGATCCCAGGCTGTGCGTAACTCAAGGAAGAGACCAAAACCAGCCGAATTCCGTGCTGGATGTGGATTTGCGGACAAGGTATTCACGCTGAGGTGCATTCGCGAATTCCTCCGTAGCTATCAGTAACCGACTGCGGTCTGTTTTGCTTCTTTGCCGCCGCCTTCGATTCCGTCCATCGTGAGTCCCTGTGGCGGATAATGGCGCTAGATGGTGTACCGGCAAAAATCCTCGCAATGATCAAGGCCTGTTATCACCCCACCACTGCGCGAGTTCTGGTCCACAACAACCTTTCTCAACTGTTCGTTATTCGGCCTGGCGTTCGGTAGGATTGTATTCTGTCGCCCACTCCGTTCAACTACGCTATTGACTGGATTCTCGGGATGGCCCTACTAGAAGGGGACAGTGCTGAGTTTGCGTTCAGACACCGACTGACCAGTCTCTTTTATGCCGATTATGCCTTAAATGTCTCAGCTTTTGGTGATCTTCAGTCTATGGTGTCACGGGTGAAACAGGTTGCTAAATTGGTCGATTTACCCATAAACGCTGGGAAGACTAAAGCATTTTTGAGTTGCATCCCTGACCAAGATGGGACACCTCTCGGTATTGTTGACTGTCAACAGTTTTAAATAGGTTAAAAGTACTTTTAACTACAGTTTTAAATACGTCGGGACGAGGCTGCTGCCGGGTAAGCAGAATATGGACGACATTATTTCCGGAATTGATGCTGTCGCGGGGTTTTCTCAAGTCTTAGTAAATGTCTATGGATCCGAAGCGACATCTCCATCGTTACTAAGATTCGCGTGTGCCCTTCTTGATGGTTGGGAATGCTGGGCTGTGCGCGTGGAGGAAGAGCGAAAACTGGAAATATTTGATCAACACTGCTTGAGGATCATCCTTCGAGTGAAGTACACCGACTTCGTCTTAAATGAGACAGTCCGCACTCGCTGTGAGCACATCGCAAGCAGATCCCAGGCCATTCAAGAAAGACGACTGCGGTGGTTTGGACATCTTCCTCGTCGTCCGCCTCAGGAACTCAGTGTTACAGCCCCCGATCAGGCACCTTTACTCCACTGGTTGCACACCGCTTGATCGGTATGTACCATCCCTGTGTGAATAAATGCCCGATTTGTAGCAATAGAAAATGCCCGTTGAGCATCGCTCTCATGAAATTCTCAACACCCATTTGGTATTCGCCCTCCTGGCACCATCTGCTCCAATGTACTCAAATTTCCCCGCTCCCGTGAGGTTACTTCCACTGGCATTGACATGGGTGTTCGGTGTAGTCGGCGTGTGGCGTCGCTCGGTGTATGGCCACTGTCTTCTTCATCCTGACGGTCAGGCCGAATTCGGAACGACCGGAGGCGAAGTGATCCGCACTCCTTTGCATTTCCTCCCCCGTTGTGGTGTTTAACGCGCAATCATCCGCCTTCACTAAGTCCTGACGCTGGCTCTGGGTATGCTCGAGGGTGCCTGCATGCAACTGAAATTGACCAATCTGTCGTCGGTTCAGCAGTCAATGTAGATGCCCGGCCGCTCTCCACGGTGTTCGTCCATCAGCTTAGTGAAAAGCATGAGATTGAATAGGGTGGGAGCGAGTGTTCAGTCCCGCTTCACTGCGTTGGTTCCCGCGCATGTTTCAGAGACTGTCCCAATGTCTGTTACGCGAGCCATCATCCCGTCAGGAAGTACTCTTATCATTTGAGCGAATCGTTCAGGGGATTCGAATTCCAGCATGATTCTCCAAAATCTATAGAGATTTCCGTCGTCAAAGGCCGTCGTCGGACACATAAATGTGGTGTACGTGTTGTCTCCATTTCCTAATACTTTGTCGGTAGTAGCTGGACCACGAAGATCATGTCTGTAATTTCGCGGCGTCTTCGGACTCTACACTGCTCCAGATGCGTGTCCAGACGACTGAGTAGAACACGGGCGAGATTTTTTCTTCGATGCTGCGAGAAGGGATTCCTTTGTGGTTATCACAGAACTGCCGGCTTTCCGTGCGTTTGTAAATGTGTCAGATGGTGACATCTTTGGGATCTTGTGGAGGTTGTCCTTGTTATCATACCTTCTGGTGCAACGGGTTGAGCCGTTCCGGTACTTTTGGGCCGCCGTACTTTCAAACTTGATATGAGACACCCTGGGAGTGACTGGTGAGATAGGCGCACAAGGCTTCAGAGGCCAATGACGAAACCGCTTTCTGGTGTCTTAAGTAGTACCTACGTTGAAGTAAGATAAAACCTTTGTGGGCAAGGTAATATGTTCCTCTAGAATTCAGAGCAAAACCGCTTGCAATATTAGGGGGGGGGGGGGTTTGCCTACTCCCTTGTTCAACCAAAAAAACATTTATACCTTAAGAAATGAAGCGTCAGGCCTTCATGAACCCTCATCAGTCTTTCCGGTCTCCCTTGTCTTTGTCGGTAATTATATTCTGCTGCCGGGAGGGGCGTTTTAGGGCACAACGTGACGAGTGAGTTACGCAACGCGATCAGTGGGCGTCCCTTTACCATTGCTAATATACCCGATCGCAACCGCCAACACGACGAGTTCGTGACTCAGTGGTTGGGGCGTTGGACTTCTAACCACCTGGTCGCGACTTCGAGCCTCAGGGGTTGCATACCTCAAGGTTGGATATGGCTGGCTGATGACGGCTAACAAACCCGAAATATTCCCATGTTACACTTGAAAAGTCAAGTTGGCTAACACGCGTGGGAAAGATGAGTGTTAATGACATAATTGACCTTGAGACACCTATAAACACTGTTAATTTTGTACACTTTCACTCCATGTAATTGTATTGGCCTGACGAAGAATTACTGAAAACACGTGTTAGCCAACTTGACTTTTCAAACCCGAAATAGTCGTTTCAATGTCCCTTGTCTTTATCGGCAACGCTATTCTACTCTTGTGTTGGATACTGCCTATGATGCCAACAGTTAGATGTGTTCTAAACGGATAACACTCCCTTTCAAGCGTATGCACTATAATTGGACCTAGAGGGCTTTAACTACAATAAGAATTTCAATTGGACTCCTGTACTACAGGCGGCTTTACGCTCAAACCCAAGTGGTACCTATTTCTGCGTCCTAAATTTAACTACAAACCTAACACTTATCATCATAGCACTAGCCCCCTTAATCCTAACCTGAGCACTATCCTTAATCCCTTGGAATTTAACGCAAGACCCTTGCAATATGGGGGATCCGTATTCCTGTCTCAAAGCGTCTTTTATGGTGAAACTCTCTTCATCCAACGTAGGCCCTCTTTGTCAGGACAGTATTTCCACTATCGGCACAGAACTGCTAGGCGGGCTCCTGGGAACGTCAGCGCTCCGTACCGCAACACTGTACTCGTCAGTGGCTACAGTCGACACCCTGTTTAACAGTTCAACTGGATTCTGACTTTATTCTCAACCGATTTTCACAGAAGAGACCAGATATTATGCCTGATCGAATTTGCTCGATAGGCTTGCGATCTGACAGAGGACGCTTCTGCCCCTAAATATAGTCACATTTTCCACTTGAAGAGTATAATTATCAAATGCGAGGGTGAGTAACCAGTGCTGCTGAATGTAATCGATTCCAACTTATTAAAGTTGTGACACTTTAGATGACGAAATGCTCGATTATCCCCCCTCCCCCAGCTTTTCAACCTAACTCGTCCGCAAGGGCAACCTTACGAATTACCTGGCGAGTACACGATTATGTTTTCCTTATTGTAGCATACTTGGTTTGCGTTAGATATATAGATATTCACCTCTCTTGATTTTTACGATTTTTCAGTTTTCTGTCATATAAAAGTCCTTGTGGAAGTCGTCATAGCATTTAGTTGGTTTTCATAGAGACATCTAAGAAATCGTGCTTGTCAAGCCCCACACTCTTTTTGTTTCTTCCCCTCCCTATGCGTCTCTCCACAAGCCACGTGTTTCAGTCGAGAGAGGTCAGTGGTGGTCGTCTCGCGTAAAATCGATCTCTCCTCAGATAAGTCCGCAAGAAACGCGCCGCCATCCGTAGATAGGCTCAGCTCTCACACAAGAGAACTTGAACCTCGCCCATACTCATCTTATTCCATAAGTCAACACCCTAGCCAATTTAGTGTCCCTCGGTTACGCACCTGTCGGACAACCTGTGCACTCTAAGTTGCCATAATTCGAGGGGCAGATGGAGAACTGCAACATGTAGCAGGCTGTGACTGCGACGACCGACAGCCTGACATAGTATCAACAGCATGTGCAGTGAGCGCTGGAGACATTGGAGTAGATAAGCTGTCGATGTGTATGTAGAACATCTCAATGACCAGAGACAGTGAGCTGAATTTTTCACAACTGCAGAGTTAACAGTAAATATTTTATAGGTCCGGCTCTCATGGAATGACGCAAACCGGTCGATTTCGCTATGCCTTGGATCTTTGAGTGGTCAGATGTAGTTATTTGGCCTACCTGAAGCAAGCCAACCCCAGCCACCTGTAATACGGGACCGGTGATAATAGGGGGCTTTTACAGGTGGGGAGGGGGAACGCAAAGGCGAAGAGGTCAAGTAGTTGTATACAAAAGATAAGCTAGTGGGGATGCGCGATTGTACTTTGAGTGGTTGAGAAAAAGTTGCCCTAACCCTAACCCTAATCCTAGCCTCTAACCCTGGCATCTAACTCTAACCCCTAGCTCTAAGCCCTAGCCTTAACCCCTAACCATAACTCCTAACCCCAAAAGTATTGTGTTCCATCAGGTGGGGCTATATAATCACATCTTACCCTTTG